TGGCTTGGGCTCAGAACCACTTTCCTGTCACATCTGAAGTTCCAGAGTGCGTATGAGCTCAGGCACCTGCGTAGAGTGGTCCACATCCAGACCCAAAGTGACTCTCTATGTTTATCTGCGTTTGATCCTGGAAGGAGGCACGTTGCCCGAGAGGCTTCTCCAAAAATCAGCAGACGTCTGAAACTATTTGCTCTGGTTACTTGTCTGGGTTTGGTTTTCTTTCCCCCTATAATCTGAGATATTTCAGCCTCCCAGCAGAGCGCTGTAGTATGGCCTTTACTAAGCCCTCCTGCAAGGCTTCAGCAGGCAGCTCTGCTTAAAGTACGTCTTAATATTCGGAACCGCCAAGAGGGGAAGGAAAGCAGAATTGCTGCTGCTGCAGCTCTTCACCCAGAAGACCAGTAGCTGCAGCACTCAGGAGACGTACAATTATCTTAACCTCAAATCCTTCCTTGGCCTGAGGGGACGATTCAAACCTGCTCAGCTGCTCCCCTGCAGAAGCCCATCATCAGCGTGTGAAGAGGTTTTGTTTGGTTTGTGCAGGTGACAGATAATCCGTGTACTCCGTGGCACACGTAAGTGAAACCTTTCACTGCAAGGAGCTCACCAGCCTACGGACTAATGACGCACGCTGTGCCAAGAGGAGTAGCTGCAATGAGGAGAAGCAACCTACTGGCCAATGGCTAGGTCACCAAGACCAAAAGAGAAGTCAGAAAGGGGGTTGCAACATGTGCCTCGCCGGCTCCTGATGAACGGCCCTTTACCCAGGCTGCTGGGCAAAGAGACAAGTCCAGCACCACTTACTTCACCGGCTACTTTGAAAAGGCAGACCCGCCCAAGGCATCCCATGGCTTATCTTTCAAAAACCTGCTCCATGGCAAAGCTTGTAGCTGTGACTCACCATGAGTCACAGGTGCCGCCCTACAGGCCAGCTTAGCGTGCTTAAACTCCTGAGATTTAGCTCACGCGGCCTTTCCCATGGCTCCCTCCTGGGCAAGGGGCTCCTTGGTCACTGCTGAATATTCTCGATCCCATTCCCAAGGACCTCCCTCGAGAGAAGGGTCTGGTTGTGGGAGACCTGGTACGCAGCCAGTGCTACAAGACCGAGCATGGTCATGCTCCAAGTCCCAAGCCTGATCCAAAAATCTTGAACGGCCCCAACTCCACATGCACACAACCCTGACCACCGTATCAGGACTGTTTACACACACACATCTACCCATCCGGGTTTGTAACAACAGGAGCAGCATTTCACAGTGCTAAGTGTAAATATCAAAATACTGTTATTTTCAGGTCTTATGCTTACGTCATTGAAGTAGTCTCTTAAAAATTCCTCGTTCATGGCTCCTGCCGCTCCCATTGCGACTCCTCCTCCAGCCACCACCGTCTTGCCTTCCTCACCTGCCAGGCCTTCAGCCCCTCCGGCTGCCATGGCTCCATACTCAGCACCAGAAAGGAGATGTCTTTGCTCTTCCCACCCTTCCTTGGTGATGGTGCTGAGACGGTCTCTCACGTGAGAGGCAGAGCTGCCTCCTCCTCCTGCTGCAGCCTCCTCTCCACTCATCCCTGCCGCTGCCGCCGCCGCTGTTGCTGCTCCGCTGGCCGCTCCTCTCGAGTTGCCCAGTCCAGTGGGTGGGATGAAGCTTAGCACTGGCTACATGAACAACACAAATGAGGATGGGACATGAAAGCCGCGCTGTCTAGCACATGGAACTCACCAAACCAGCAGCGGGGCTGGGTGGGACCTGGGAGGGTGCTGGTTTACGACTTGTTTGAATTCGCACTGACACATGTTGCTGCAAAGACTAAGAGGCTTCCTGAAATAGGGTGCAGCTTCCACAACTGCGTTCCCAAGGACTGTAGAAATGTTTCTACAGATCATTGTTTTCTTAAAACTCAAAGGGTTGGGAGTGAAAGCAGGGGAAAAAAAAAAAACAAACCACCACCAAAAAAAGGCTTGCAAAACTGCAGGGAGCTGAGCTGTTCCAAGAAAGACACTGCCCAGCTTTCCTCAGACACAAAGTGGGGGGGCGTGCACTGGCTGCTGCCTCTGTGGTGCTGGCAGGCCCTTGCTCCTTTTCTAGCAGTTTGGCTTCCCTGTTAATTGTCCTTTAACAAGAACTTGGTGTGAGCATTGGCCCTAAATCAAAGCCTTTTACCTTACTTCTGTTTCTTTGTTACTGTGCAAAGGCATGGCAGTGTCATGCCCCTTTTTTGAAAACTGGGTTTTGCAGCATAACAAGAGAGGGCAAACTTCTCTTGGCATTCACTGTTCCCTCTGCAGATTTGCACTTTTTTCTGCCTTTTTTTTTTTTTTTTTTTAATTGAGATTTTCCTTTGTTTAAGAAGGCAAACACACAGGGAAGTCAATTAAAATGCAGCCCAAAGCTCTAAAGCAGCGAGGAGAAGCTAAGCTTTATAACCCATTCCTTCGCTGCTCTACCATGTTTCCAAAGGGGTGCAGAACATTCCAGGCTTGCAAATGCAAACGCTTCACTTTACAGCATGGATGCTTTTCCCACACTCCTATCTTCTGCTCAGACACCATCACCATTTGCTTGATTGCTTTCCCTTTACTCTGGGATTTAAACACTACGGTTGGTTTTGCTTTTTCTAGAGCCGCTGGTCGAATTCACCTTCCCTGCATCCTTCCCCGAGCCTCACGGGGTTAATTTTAATTAATTTTCAGGTGCCCTTAAAATCTGCCGCGCAGATTTGTACCATCAGCCTGTAAGGTGGAAGAGAGACCAAGTGCCAAACTGAACTCTTGGAGAGAAACCAGAGAGAAACGCCATTCGGGATACATGCCTTCTCCTCGGGAGCTGCTCCTTCGCTGTTCCACTGCCGCAACATTGCTTCGCTGTAGTCCGGTATCGCAGCAAACCCCTTCGCGCCCGAGCCGCAGGGACACAGCAGCAGCAACAGCGGAA